GTTTTGGTATAGGTGGTTAGTGACTTCACATTGATAATCATTGACTACAAATCTGTCTACACAAGAAATACACTGATACTTTTCTGTTTGACTGCATGTTACACAATTTAACATTTTACTGCATGGAGAGCATCGTTTTTCTTCTGGAAAATATCCAATTTTGCATTTTTGGCATCCACTAACAACATCACACATGTTTATTTCACAATTATTATCACATTCAACACATTGATTGTTGTTGAGATACCTTCCATTCTCGCATGTTAAACACCCATTTACTTGGTTGTTTGAACACGTCAGACATTCTTCATGACATTTAAAACAAGTCATATTATTTTTATAATAACCATTCATGCATTCAGTACAACCCTGGATGGTATCACACTTGTTTGTTGTACAATAAGAACTGCACAGTAAACATTTATTATTTTGAATATATGATCCTTGTTTGCAAGATAGACAGTTAGTACTCTGCAAAGAACATGTCTTGCAATTTGAATCACATGGCGTACATCTTTTGTTTTTGATAAAATGTCCATCGGGGCACAATGTACAACCAAGAACTGTATCACAATTGTTTGTACACAATGTATCACAAACTGTACATAATCCACCATCGAAATATCTTCCCCCTTCACACGACAAACAGGTGCTTTCGGCATTCGAAGAACATGTCAAACAATTGGAATGGCATGCAGCACAACTTTTTTCACTCACAAAATAATGATTTTGGCATTGGGTACATCCATTATCGTGGCCACAATATCCAGTGCGACAATTTTGATCACATTCAATACACGTTCCAACTTGAATATAATAATTTGCTACACAATTTGTACATTGGTTGTTATTCGGTCCATTACATGCGTTACAATTTGATGTGCATTTCCCACATTTCTTTCCTTCTACATAATACGTATTTCGACATAAAGTACAACCAGTTTGTCCACATGTATTACAATTTGGATCACATGGTGTACACCCATTGTTTTCTTGATAATACCCAGTCCAACATTGTGAACATCCAGTTTGAGTATGACAACTATAGCAAAATTGACAATCCAAACACTTTCCATTATACAAATATTTTCCTGTATTACAATCTGTACATATTTCACTTGAACTGCATGTTTTGCAATTACTGCTACATGAACAGCACTCAGAATCACTGTTCAAATATAATCCATCATAACAATCAGAACACTTTGATGGATCTAAATTGCATTGTTTACATATACTGTTGGCACATCGATAACATTGATTCGAATTGGCCAAATAATAATTATCATTACAAACATAACAAAAATCGAAATTATCTTGTGAACAAAAAAAACAATTTGGAACATTACACGTTTCTTTTTTAATTTCAGTCTTCTTGTTGACAGAATAATCTTCAAGCCTAAACTCTTTTTGCTTATTTGTAAACTTCATTTTTAGTTTGGTTCCATTTGGAAGGGTGACATTTAGTTCTGTGTTTATACCACATTTTAATGTTGTATAAATATCATATTCACTTATCGATATTAACAACCCTTCAACACTCCATTGATATGAAGTCGGACATTCGACATTGGTATAAACACAAACAATCATGTTTTCTATTTTACACCACTTTAGGCTGTCAGACAATACAAACAACAAGATAAACATCATACTGAATATATTTCAAGTTTTTTAAATCAAACATTTCATTTGTAAAACATCA